TCAAACAATTGTAAAAAATATAATAATTAGACTCGGACTTTTAGACTGGAGCGCTGTGAGCATGGGAATGTTAGCTTTGCAAATACCGATCAGAGTTTTCTATCGACTTGCGCACCGCTTATGCACAAATCTCGGCAGAAAAACTAGTTGTAGTTCAATAAACGACAGCTTATTGTGCAATAATTAGACCAATTGCATTTTCATTTATCTACGAAGCGTGACGATGCGCTTCGTATCCTCACAAAGAACTGCGCGCACAACTCTAGCTTAAATGGTAATCACATTGCCACAAACTTATTATAGGCTCTCAGGCAAAAACTCGTTTAAACACAAAGGTCATTAAAGAGATCATGATAATCAAAAGAAGAATTCATAAGCCTAACTCTTACATATTTATATTACTATAATGAAAGTATATTTATGGCTATTTATGTACCCAGAAAAGTCTCAATGAAAGACACTCAAAGGCAATTTTTTGTTAAAATGTTTTTATTAATGAAAAGCTTCGCTTAAATGCTCAATATAAAATTGCTTAGCAGTACCCACTTCAACACCGTAGCTTGCTTCATGTACGAATGCCGCGGCAGTGGTGATAAGTCCGAACAAAGCCGAGCTTTGGCAAATCTATTTCAAAATATTTAAACATACATAAATTATCATTATGCGAACGGATGTTTGTGTTCGCTGGAAAGATTGGTCCACAAGAAAGAATGAAAGGAAATAACGGCTTACAGATATATGCAAGCTCTGTATGAATATATAGAGTGCACCAACACATATGCACGTCGATGAAGTGTTCACAAATGAAACTATTGTCGGGACGAAAGCTATCGCGGACTTTTCTGCACATATTTCTTATAAGCATGTGCATAAATACAAATACGTAACGTTACATTACATATACATACAATTTGCAGATATTATATTTATATAATAGCATTGCTAATAATATTTATAAGTAGACTTTTGTGCATGTGTGTGCTGGTGTCCCACATATGGGCGAGTACTTGTGCTAATACAATATTTCCAAGATCGAAATAACATTGTACGGTTCCTGCGAATATCAAAATCAGTTGGTCTTTGTACGTGACGCGGCTTACATACTACTTACGGAAAAGCGAAAATCATAAATAATTACAAAAAAATGCGCTTATCTAATTTGTGGTTACTGCTGATCCTGCTTGGCATGATAAGCTACGCATCGGCAAGTGTGTGCACAGTGCGAAGAGGCAATCGACTTGTACGCGTTTGTTGTAGAGGATACACTAAAGCGGCAAATGGGTGCAAACCTAATTGCTCTAAAGGCTGTGAGAATGGGCTTTGCATCAGGCCGGAAGTGTGTGCTTGTAAATCTGGCTACGAGAAACAAAATAATCATCGGTAGGTGCACAAAGCGTTGTGTAAGAGTAAAGTTTTCGATATGAAGTTAATATTAAAAATGATGATTTGTGTGTATTTTTTTTTAAATAAAATAGCGTGAAACCTTTTTTTCTTTAACAGTTGCAGACCACACTGCGATAAGTGCACGCGAGGCACCTGCATTGCGCCGAATGTATGCAAGTGCAGTACCGACTATGCGCTGAACGCCACTGGCGACTGCGCGCCTGTCTGTAAGCCAGCCTGCAAAAATGGTATATGCATAGCGCCGAATAAATGCCACTGCTTTCCCGGATATCAAGAAAATGCCAATGGTGATTGTGTGCCCAAGTGTGAAAATGGCTGCGATAATGGTGTTTGCCAAACGCCAAATCAGTGCGCCTGCAATAGCGGCTACAAAAAAGATGCCAGTGGTCGGTGCCAGCCGATTTGTGAAGACGGCTGCCWGCATGGCATATGCCGCGCCCCAAATGTGTGCGAGTGTTCCAAGGGGTACCACAAATCTAACAATAAAACGTGTATGCCTTTTTGTGATGATGAATGTATCAATGGAAATTGCGTAGAGCCGAACGTCTGTGAATGTAAGCAGGGATATGAAAAGGAGTCGTATAATATCTGCAGACCTTTCTGTAAACAACATTGCGCGAATGGTAAATGCATTGCACCAAACTTGTGCGCATGTAATAAGGGCTACGAAATGGTTAACGAAAAATGTCTACCAATTTGCTTGAGTGGTTGTCCGAATGGTCGGTGCGTGGCGCCAGAGACCTGTGAGTGTACCAAAGGATATCTTATGAGCGCTTCGAAC